TAGAGAAAAATTGGGTTTTTGAAATGAATTGATTTATTAAGCATTATTATTGAAATATTGAGTTATTGGAGTTATATTTGAAAATTGATTTTGAATCATGAGTTTTGGAATTGGTTTTAAAAGCATGTTTGCAAATAAATTGAGTTTACTTATCTTGCACTTATCGTACTTAGCATATTTTGCTAATGAGTATTTCCTATTTATTTTGGTTCGCCCTATTTACCTTAATGGTAAGCAATGTTGACTATTTTTTCAGGTGGAGTCAATAATTGAGCATATGGGAGTCCCGGGATGTTCTTCACTTATAATTAGGAATGTTGGTCTTTGTTGGTATTATGAGTACTCATGACAATGGTTTCTATTTATAGTTATTATGAATAAAGAAGGAGTTTGAGTTTTCGCTACAAAGTATTGGTGTTGGTTAGTAGTTTGAGTAGCTTTGCTTAATCACGCGGCGGTAGGGCTTTACAGAGTGCGGTTTAGACCGCACCAAACCGCAATTTTGCAGTTTGCGGTTTGAAAATTGCGGTGCGGTTTTGAAAATGACTAAATAGTAGTTTACGGTTTGGTGCGGTTTCAAAAAATATTTAGACCAAACCGCACCGCAAGTCGCACTTTAATGCGATTTGCGGTTTTTATACTATATTTTTATTAAAAAAATATAAAAGAACTAAAATATATGAGCTAATCTTTGACTATTAGTTAATTAAAGGTTTAAAAAAAGATTTTAATATTTGAATTACATATTAATAATTACAAAATAAAGTAAAAGTTTTGTTTTAAAAAGAATAATTATAATTTTAAAAAAGTATGGTTAAACCGCACCGCACTAAACCGCATTTTGCGATGCGGTTTGGTGCGGTTTTTTTAGAAGTGCAGTTTGGTGTGGTTTGAAAAAATTACAAACCGCAATTTTGCGGTTTGGTGCGGTTTAGGATCCAAACCGCACCGAACCGCATCGCGAACACCCCTATGCGGTGGTAATACGCCTAAGTTTATCTCTACGGTATAATTATACGTATTATACTAGTATTTTCGTAGAGGGAGATTTGGGGGTGTTACAAAGTGGTATTAGTTTTCCGGTCCTAAAAAGATTAAAATTGGGAATAATAAAAAAATTGTGGGTAGACTTAAGAGGGCATATAGGATAGATAGTGTTTCGCAATGTGTGTGATAGTCAAAAGCTTTATTTTTATATAAAACTATTTTCCTATTTGTGGAAAGATGATTGAGAAAAGGATTCTCAAGTACGTCTCTCTGTCTAGGCAAGACTCTCCTCGACATTGTAGGTAACTTACCTGGGAGACGCGTGCTCGACCGTCTAATATCATGATTCAAATATATTATTATTATTTTTGAAACAAAAAGAATTGAAACTATTTGAAACTTGAGTTGTGTGATTATGTGTGTGTAATACCCCGTATTTTTATACGTATTTTAATTTAAATAAGTATTTCTCAAAGTATTTAAAAAATTCGAAATGAATTATTTATGGTGTTTCATTAATTTAAAAAGAATTATTTTAGTTAAAAGTTTATTTTTAACAATCTTGAAAATATTTTATTTCATGATTTGGAAACTTTAGGGCATAATATTATATAAAAGGAAATTTTCAAGTCAATGAGTTTTTAAAGAAAGTCAAAATACTAGTTTGACTAGGAAAGGGATCATTAAGGGTAAATAGGGAATTTAAGTCTAGGAGGGGTTTAGGAAAGAGAGTATAAATACCCATCACATGGGCAAATTAAACTTTGCCAAGGTGGAGAATACCCAAATGTAACTCTCTTTCTCTCTCCTCTTATTTTCTCTCCTTTTTCTCTTAATTTTTCCCCTTCCCCTTTATTTTATTTTTTTTGTTTCAATCACCACCCACACACACACCACACCGCCGGCCACCACCATCGCTGCCCACCGGCCGACGGCCAACACCACCACCACTCGCCGGCAGCAGCAGTCGGCCTTAGTGGGTGTGTGCCGGTGGTCGAACGAAAAAAAAAATTATTCTTTTGTTTTTAAATCCTAATCTAGCCTTAATCTAATTATTGTTTTTGGGTTTTGTGATGATTTTAAGATGTTTGATGATAAGTATTTTGTATATAAATTTTCAGATTTGGTTTTGAATTAAAAAGCCCCAAATTATAAACCCTAGATTTCTAAGTTTATGTATATTGATGGAAATTGTTTATGGGTGATTTAAATTATTGAAATAAGTGTTAAACACAATTACACCAATTTTAAATGATTTAATAAAGCTGAAATTTTTATATATAAGCTATAATTATGTTTCTTGAAAGGATTTTTAATTACTCGTGAATTGAGGATAAAAGTAAGGGTTTTAAATTAAATTTCAACTTGTTTTAGAGGGTTTATGAGTGATTTAAAGAGGGTATATATTGCTAGAAATTTGTGTGGAATATGTATTAATGCCTCTTTGTAATTTTGGTTTGTAGGAGACTTCCAAGTGAGTGATTTTATTTAGTTGTGGCGATTTTGAGATCATATTCAAGGTACGTTCGCGTACTTGGTAATTATTTGAATATGTAGAAGCATGCTAGGCTTTGTTTAATTAATTCCAAGTAGTATCATGATAGGTGTTGGTTAAATTTGTTGATTGGATTGATGTTGGTAAATTATTTGTGATGTATGAATTATTTATGATGAATTGGTGATTGGAATTAATTATGTTGGCATGTTGATTATGAACCACACTTTTATTATTGGCATGATAGAAAGCATGTTTAATTAAACTAATTGTTTAATTTGGTTTGGAATATGAAAAGGAAATTTTATTATGGTTCATATAATTTTTATTGATGCTATAAGCATGAGGAAGGAGCTATTTAAGTGTCTTAGTACACATGAATAAATTATATTGCGGTGCCTATGTGCACTTAAGGTGTTTCTAACACCAAGGGATAAGATTTGCGGCACAGTATGCGTGTAAGGTGTCTTTGACACCGAGGTAGAATAAAAAGGGTTCAACAATTAAATTTATTTGGTCACTAATTATTCAAGAATTAAATTGATATGTTCGATTGCTTGAATGAAGTATAATAATTGATTGTGTTATGGTTTGAGAGTCATCACCAAGTATAATAATATGTAAACAACGTAAAGTGAAAGAGATTACGCACCAAAACTCTTGGAACGTATATACCTTATGTATGAACACATGGGGGGAGTTATGGGATTTTATATTTAACCATGACTTCTACTGGGAGTATAGGACACTGTATTTTCCTTTTTATTTATTTTATGCGAAGGACATCTAGTCACTTCATGTGACATTTGCCTACCCGGTCAGCTCCCGGTGTAGTTTACCTCAAATTTGGGGTAGGGATTTGGTGGAAAACCCGTTTGATGCGTAATCAAATTAAATAAGCAATTCATTTATTTATTGGTTGGTCATTTGGTATGTTGTATGCTTGTATACAGGTGCAACAAGGTAAGTTGTGTGATGATAGGATGAAAGCATGTTAGTGTGTTTTTATTACGCTTATGTACTCAACATTGCTGATTGTGTGTTGTATGTTTGTTTGGCCTTGTCTTTACCTTGGCCCTACGACGACCCATTTCTAATGGCGAGTAGTGGGGACAAGTAGAGAGAAGCTTTTCAGGTGATGAAGCATTTTCATGATGGGCATGAGTGAAGAGTGAATCATGCTTAGTTTCCATAGGAATATGATGTGTTTTATTTGCTTTGAATATTATTTATTTTATTATGTTCATGAGACTAACGTAAAGGTTTTCAGTATTATTTGGTTTTAAGGGCCTACAATGGTTCCAAGTTGTAGGTTGACTTTGTTTAACTTTACTTTCTTTTGGTTTGACTTTTTAAGTTGACTTGTTTTGAATGGTTTTAAAGAAAGTCTTTCGCCGTGTGTCTTTGATATTTTCCTTAGCCGTTTTCACGGTGGCGGTAATGTCTTAGATTTTCCTTTTTCGTATTTTAAAAAGGCAAAATAGGTATTTTAAAGGAAAGGAATTTCTAGGGTGTTACAGTGTGCATTAAAGTTGGTGTTAAAACACCTTAGTCTATGGTCATAGGTCCGAATTTTTGAGCTATTACCCATGGTTGGGTGATCTTGAGTTATACTTGGTTGATTGAGTTATGAATTGCTTATTGCAAATGGATTTTTGAGTTGAATTGTTTATGTGATCTAGCATTGAATTGATTGTTTTGCATGTGTTTATGAAATAGATAGAAATGATTGATGAAATGAGAAAGAAATACTTTAACTTGCATTACTTGAAAGATGATGGAGTCATAGTTAGTGAATTTATGACTGGAATTGTTACTTTGGCCTTAACCCTCTATGAGAAGTATAATTTGGAAGCTTTGACCTAACCACCTTGGATGGTTCTTTTGGCCTTAGCCCATCTACCTAGAGTTCTCAAATATGAACCGCTCTTTGACAAGTATGGGGATGAGATCAAGAAGAATGGGTTGTGGAATGAAAAACACCATCATGAAGGGAAGTGGTTAGCAAGCATGTCTAGCCTTAAGAGAGACTTGCATTATGTTGAACGTGACTATGAGCTTAGGAGGAGAATTGTGAGATTTCCCAAACTTTCAAAGATTGGAACCTTGAGAGAAGATGACCAAATGTACTATTTAAATGCCCAACTACCTTTTTCATACCGCAAGGATCCTCATGGGTTTGTGTCATCCAGTGATGAGTCCATACCACCTCTTGGTAAGAGTAAGAATTATCCTTTTCTTACTCGTACTCCAAGCTATGAACCTCCAAAACTCCCAAGTCCAAAAGTCCACTTTCATGTTGCAAAAAGGCCCATAACACGTACCCAAATAGTCAATCAAAAGTCACCAAGTCCAAAAGTTCAACCAAAGCCCAATGCTTCTTCAAACCAACCTCGTGGTAGTGTTAGCCTAGTCAAAAGCCCAAGTTACTCTCCTTATGCAAGCCCGGACAATAATCTAAGTGAATTTGAGTCAAGTTTAGGCCGTAGTCCAAGCTAGTGGTTATAACCCAACTTTCATGACTGACCCAAGTGATAGGGATAAGTCCAAGCAAGATGATCCTGACTATGATCCGGATGAAGATGACTATGCTGAGAGTGTTTCTTGAATAATTGAACTATGATTATGTTTATTGCTTTCAATAATTGTCTTAGATGGCAAAGTTGTACTTTTCTCTAATTATTAATGAAATGAAGTTTATTTATTTGAAATTTTCTCTATGTTACTAAGTGAATTAAATGTTGATATGAGGAGAACTTGTTTTAATTTTTCAAAGTATGATAATTATACTCAGGAAGTATGTCTGTAAGGATGAGAGACCAAATGAGAAGTAAGCGCACTAGTTCCAAAGTAGGGAAGATCCTAAGAAAGCTAACCCATATCACTGAAAACATCACTAAAGTGGTGAACAAGGGAAACTGAAATTCTGACCTTGACTCTTATAGTGAAGTTTTTAAGAGAGTTGCTGCAGCCAAACCACCTGTTTACTTGGGAAAGGAAGACCCAACCAGCCTTGAAAACTGGATTAGGGAGTTTGACAAGCTGTTTGATGCAATCAATTGCCCAAGTGAGCTAAGAGTGAACAATGGTGTTTACTATTTGAGGGAGGAAGCTGACTTATGGTGGACCCAAAGAAAGGATGAGTTGCTGAAAAGACCAAACTTTGAGTGGGATGAGTTTAATGAAGCCTTGAGAGAGAAGTTTTACCCTTCCTACCTAAGAAAGCAGAAATGCATGGAGTTTACCAACCTGAGAATGGGGAACATGTCTATCAATAAATACTACAACAAGTTCATTGAGTTGATGAGGTTTGCCCCGGAAGTAGTCCCTATTGAAACCATCAAAGCTTAGAGATTTGAGCAAGGCCTAACCTTAACCCTCCAAGGAAAGCTAGGGGGAGTTACCTTTGAGACCTTAGATGAAGTCTATGGTCGTGCACCCTATCTGTACGGAATCAAGGGGAGGGAGATGGAGCATTTTGGAGAGAAAAGGAAGAACCAGGACTCTTTTCACGGGGGTGGAAAGAGGCATAAGCCCAATGGTAGCTACTAGGGGAATTCTGGAGATAGAAGGGACAACAAAGGGAACTTTGGGAAAGGGAATGGAGGCCAGTCGTCCAATGCTAGAGGGAATGGAAACCAAAGGGGTGAGAAGCCCCTGAGAAAGTATTTCTGCAAGCGGTGTGAGAAAGACCACCCAAGAAGACTGTGAGGGAAAGTCAGTAACTTGTCGTTACTGTCTGAAGTTGGGACACCGTGAGTACGAGTGTTACTAGAAAGAGGCTAACTTAAGTCAGGAAAGGTGAAAGAGTCTAGTGTTCCTAGCAAACCACCTCAGTCTAGTAGACCTACTTCTAAGGTTGGAACCAGTAGCGTTGCGGGAGGTGCCCCAAAGGGTCGTGTGTTCGTGATGAACAGCCGTGAGGCTGAAACTGCTAATGATGTGGTAATTGTTGTTTTCCTTATAAGTCTTATGCCTGTGAAATTTTGTTTGATTCAGGGGCAACCCATTCTTTTATTTCTAAGAGAATAGTTGAAAGTCTCGGGTTAGTGAGTCCCGAGTCAGTTTCTCTAAATGTGTCTATTCCGTCTGGGGAAGTGAGGGATTGTTCCAAGTTGTTTAAAAGTGTACCTATTTCCATTTCTAGGGTAGAATTTCCGTTGGATTTGATCGAGTTCGATTTGAAGCATCTCGATGTAATTCTGGGTATGGATTGGTTGGGAAGATATGAAGCAAAGATTGATTGTGCAACTGAAAAGGTTACCTTGACTAGCCTAGCGAAAACTCAAACTCTTTCTTTATTAATAATAGCTATAAATAGAAACCATTGTCATAAGTACTCATAAATAAAACAAAGACCAACATTCCTAATTCTAGGTGAAGAACATCCCGGGACTCCCATATGCTCAATTATTGACTCCACCTGAAAATAGTCAACACTGCTTACCATTAAGGTAAACAGGGCGAACCAAAACAAATAGAAAATACGGGTTAGCATAATATGTTAAATACGATAAGTGCAAGATAAGTAAACTCAATTTATTTGCAAACATGCTTTTAAAACCAATTCCAATAACTAATCCAATAATATAATTCCAAACTCATTATTCCAAAATCAATTCCAATAATCCAATATTTCAAATACTTCATTAATAAAACCAATTCCTCTTTTTAAATCCAATTCCTCACCCAAGTGTGCACACCCCCAAGCTAGTCTCCTACTATTTCAAGGTTATTATCGAGGAAAGACTTGGTCATGCAAAGTCCAAAGTCTTATCAACCAAATCCGTATAGTGGTATTACTATCAACATGCCTGTAAAGCTTTAATAACAATAATTCAATAAATCCTTTTTAATTCAATAATTCTAATATAATTCAAAACTCCTTTTTATTTAATTCAACATGCTTTCAAAATCGAACCTTTAAAACATGATAAATAATTTTAATCATTAACAACGTGATATAAAAATCAATCCTCCAATTTATTTATCAAAACCAAATATTTAAACATGCTTTTATTTCATAAATCATAATTCAATTCAACTTAATTCAATCATCACAAAAATCGTATAAAACATGCTCATTCAATCCAATCAATTCCAAAAGTATCTAGCCACCTAACATACCTTTGATCCTTGCTTAATACACATAAAAGAACTTCAAGAACTTTGATCAAACACACCCTACAATTAAACATAACCTTAATTAATATAAGGTTAACAAATAATCACAAGAATTAAATTAAAAACCCCCAACTATATGTACATGAACCTTATAAATTATTTTTCATAAACTTGAATAAAAATATGATTTTATTTAATTAAAAATACTCATAATAATTTTTATAAATCTCCCATGATAATATTAATTAATTAAATACGAAAAGAGAACAAGAAAACGTAGAAAACCAAGGAAAAAGGAGAAGAGAGGTGGCGGCAAGGGTGGCAGCTGGTGGCTGACGTGGCTGTGGTCGGCGGCAGGTGGGAGCCGGAGGTGGAGGGTGGTGGTTGTGGTGTTTGGCGTAAGGAAAGGTGAGAAAAAGAGAAGAGAATTAGAGAGAACTTAAGAGAGAATTAGAGAGTTTTGGTGTGAGTGTTTAGCCATGAATCAAGGGGTATTTATAGGCTAGCTCATGCAAGAATTATGGTAGGAGAATATAGGAAGAATTATGGTAAAAAGAATTAAGGAAATTACTTGGAGAAGAGAGCTAAAGAATTATGGAAAGTTTAGTATTAAGGTGACTAAGAAATAATTAATTTAAGAAAAGTGTGTTGTCATGAAAAATAATATGGCAAAAGAGCTTGCTTGGGGAATAATCAAGGATGAAATAAGGCAGGGAAATAAGATGATCAAATATTTAGAAGATGGGAAATAAGAATTAAGGAAAAATAATAAATTTAAGGGAGATAATTAAAAATACAATTTAACAAAATAAATTACCCAAAATCCAACCATGGTGGCCGAAAATTTTGAGCTTCCATAGCTCAAATTTTCGGACCATATTAGTAATATTTAGAAAATTATTTTGCTGGGTTTAAGGGATTAAAAATAATAGTGTAAATAATATATGTTGTATAAAATAATCAATTAAGAGAATACCAATTATTCACTAGATAAATTAACTAAGAAAATTAGATTTTCCACACTAGGAAAATCCGAAATTAATAGCCAATTAGTAAGAATTTTTGGACCTCCTAATTTAAATAATTAAAATATATATCCAAAATATATATAAATAATCCATTTTTAAAATAAAATAAATGGATAATAAATCTTATTCAAAATCCAAAAAAAATAATTAAATTTTAAAATACTTTTGGCGCCAAGATTCAAATATCATTTTGGCTCCAAAATTCAAATAGTAAAATAAATTACTAAAATACCCTTTTTAGAAAATAATAATTAATTAGAAAATACGTATTAAAATACGGGGTATTACACCAGTTTTGTTTGTAAAGAAGAAGGATGGAAGTATGAGGTTGTGTATTGATTATCAAGAGTTGAATAAGGTGACAGTGAAGAATAAGTATTCATTGCCAAGGATCGATGATTTATTTGACTAGTTGAAAGGAGTTGTAGTGTTTTCAAAGATTGATTTGAGGTCAGGTTATCACCTGTTGAGATTGCGGAGCAAGATTTTGCAAAGAATGCTTTCAGGACCCGTTATGATCATTATGATTTCACAAGTTATGCCATTTGGTTTGACCAATGCACTAGCAGTGTTCATGGATTTGATGCATAGGATTTTTAGGCTACACTTGGGCAAGTTTGTAATGGTGTTTATTGATGATATTTTGATTTATTCAAAGGATGAAGAGGAGCATAAGGAGCATTTGAGACAAGGAGCATTTGAGACAAGTGTTATCATGTTTGAGAGAGCACCAGTTGTATGCCAAGCTGTCAAAGTGTAAGTTTTGGTTGGAAAAAGTGGCATTTTTGGGCCATGTGATTTCCAAGGAAGGAGTCTCAGTGGGCCCAAGTAAGATTCGAGCTATTAGTTATTGGCCAACCCCAAAGAATGTGTCGGATGTGAGAAGTTTCTTGGGTTTGGCAAGCTATTACAGAAGGTCTGTGAAGGATTTTTCAAGGATTGCGAAGCCCATGACAAGTTTGATGAAAAAGGAGCATAAGTTCTCATGGACTCAAGAGTGTGAAGAGGTGTTCAAGACCTTGAAAGAAAGGTTAACTAAAGCACCTGTGCTGGCTTTGCCGGATGGAAGTGATCTATATGATGTGTATATGATGCATTGAGGTTTAGATTGGGATGTGTTTTGATGCAAAGTCAAAGGGTGATTGCGTATGCTTCAAGGCAGTTGAAACCTTACGAAGGGAATTACCCAACCCATGATTTGGAGTTAGCTGCAATAGTGTTCGCTTTGAAGATTTGGAGGCATTATTTGTATGGGGTGACTTATAGGATTTTCATGGATCACAAGAGTTTGAAGTACATTTTCACCCAAAAGTATTTGAATGGAAGGCAGAGAAGATGGTTGGAGTTTCTAAGTGATTATACGTTGGATATTCAATACCATGAAGGAAAAGCTAATGTGGTGGCAGATGCTTTGAGCAGGAAGTCAGGACATTTGATGAATGTGATGGTAGTGCCAGACTAGTTGTGTGTGGAATTTCAGAAGTTGAATTTGGAAGTGATGGAACATGGGGAGGTGACTAGGATTTTGAATGCATTGGTGATTCAACCATCCATTTATGATGAGATAAGGGAAAGTCAGCTAGAAGACGAGAAGTTAAAGGCGATAAAGAAAAAGATCGATGAAGGGCAGGTGTTGGATTTCACTATTGGTGATGAAGGGAGTATTTGTTTTAAGGGAAGGTGGTGTGTACCGCAGAGTCGTGGAGATTTAAAGCAGATATTGATGGAAGAAGCCCATAACTCTCCTTATTCAATGAATCTTGGAGGGGATAAGTTGTATAAGGACATGAAGAAGACTTTTTGGTGGCCCAATATGAAGAGAGAAGTAGCTGAATTTGTGGCTAAGTGTTTGACATGTCAGAAAGTGAATATTGAGCATCGTAGGCCTCAAGGAAAGGTCCAATCCTTGGAAGTACCCAAGTGGAGTTGAGATTCAATTTCTATGGATTTTGTTGGAGCATTACCTAAGACCAAGGCAAGGAATGACACTATTTGGGTAATAATGGACAGGTTGACGAAGTCAAAATCATTTATACCCATGAGAAGTACTAGGACTATGGATCAGTTGGGAAGAGCTTATGTGAAGTTTGTGGTGACGTACCATGGGGTACCCACGGATATCATTTCGGATAGAGATTCAAGATTCATGTCTAACTTTTGGCAAAGTTTGCAAAAGCCGATGGAACAAAGTTGTTAATGAGCACACATTTCACCCTGCGACGGATGGTCAGACTGAAAGAACCATTCAGACATTAGAGGATATGTTAAGAGCCTGTATGATGGAGTATCAAGGGTCTTGGGAAGACCACTTGGATTTGATAGAGTTTTTACAACAACAGCTATCATGCAAGCATTAGAATGGCACCGTTTGAAGCCTTGTATGGTTGGAAGTGTAGAAGCCCAGTTTGTTAGAATGATATAAGTGAGACAATGGTACTTGGGCCTGAGATGATTGAGGATATGGTGAAACAAGTGAAGTTGATCCAAGAGAAGATAAAAGCAGCCCAAGATCGATAGAAAAGCTATGCTGATTTGAATAGGAGGGAGGTGGAATATGAAATGGGAGAGAAAGAATTGTTGAAAATTTCACCCACGTGGCCTGGGGGGTATTTTTACCCAAAACACCTACCTTATATCATCCTTGATTATTCCCCAAGCAAGCTCTTTTGCCATATTATTTTTCATGACAACACACTTTCCATAAATTAATTATTCTTAGCCACCTTAATATTAAACTTTCCATAATTCTTTAGCTCTTTTCTCCAAGTAATTTCCTCTATTCTTTTTACCATAATTCTTCCTACATTCTCCTACTATAATTCTTACATGATCTAGCTTATAAATACCCCTTGATTCATAGCTAAACACTCACACCAAATTCTTTAATTCTCTCTTAATCTCTCTAATTTTCTCCTCCTCTTTTCTCTTGCTTTCACTCGGCCACCACCACCAAACACCACCTGCCACAAGCCGTCGCCTCCTCCGACGCCGACCACCGGCAGCAACCAGCTGTCGGTGTGCTGCTGCCTTCCTTGCCGTCACCTTCTTCTCCTCTTTTCCTTGGTTTTCTATCTATTCTTGTTCTCTTCTCTTATTTAATTAATTAGTATTATTATGGGGGATTTATAAAAAATTATTATGAGTAGTTTTAATTAAATAAAATCATATTTTTATTCAAGTTTATGAAAAATAATTTATAAGGTTCATGTACATATAGTTGGGGGTTTTTAATTTAATTGTTGTGATAATTTGTTAAACTAATATCAATTAAGTTTATGTTTAATTGTAGGGTGTGTTTGATCAAAGTTCTTGAAGTTCTTTTGTGTGGGCTAAGCAAGGATCAAAGGTACGTTAGGTGGCTACATACTTTTGAAATTGATTGGATTCAATGAGCATATTTTATATGATTTTTATGAAGATTGAATTAAATTAAATTGAATTATGATTTATGAAATAAAAGCATGTTTAAAGAATTAGTTTTGATAAATAAATTGGAGGATTGATTTAATATCAAGTTTTGAATGATTAAAATTATTTATCATGTTTTAAAGGTTTGATTTTGAAAGCATGTTGAATTTAAATAAAGGAGTTTGAGTTATTTATTGAAATTATTGAATTATTAAAAGCTTTACAAGCATGATTATTATAGTAATCCCACTATGCGGATACGTTGAAAACTATGGACTTTGTATGACCTAGTCTTTCCTTAAGAATAGCCTTGAAATAGTAGGAGACTAGCTTGGGGGTATGCACACTTATAGAGGAAATTGGGTTTTAGAAATGAATTGATTTATTAATCATTATTATTGAATTATTGAGTTATTGGAGTTATATTTGAGAATTGATTTTGAATCATGAGTTTTGGAATTGGTTTTAAAAGCATGTTTGCAAATAAATTGAGTTTACTTATCTTGCACTTATCGTACTTAGCATATTTTGCTAATCCATATTTCCTATTTATTTTGGTTCGCCCTGTTTACCACTAGTAGAAAAAATTAAATAGGCACCCCCCTATATCACCGGTTCTTAAAAATCGGTGCCAAATAAAACGGGCGGGACCAAAAAAATTAAGAGTTGGCACCGGTTCTAACCAAAACCGGTGCCAAGCATGCAATTAGCACCGGTTCAAACTGGTGGCAACTTGTAAAATTTAAAAAAAAAAAAAGATGGGGAAGGAGTTGGCACCGGTTCTCCTTAAACCGGTGGCAATTAAGGTAATTAGAACCGGTTCAAACCGGTGCCATTTAAAAAAAATAGAACGCGGGTTTTGCTGGGTTTTGCTGCTTCAACTTGGTTCAACGACATTCTTTCTTCATTCCTCGTTTTGGCTTCAAAAATTCCCAGACATTTTTGCCCTATTCTCTTCTCCCTCCATCTCCATTGAAAGGTTGTGCAAGCTTTCTCCTCTCCATTGAAGCAGTTAAGCTAAGCGACCTAACTCACATCTTTCATTCAATTCAATTCAATTTTCTGCATTCCCTCTTCCTAAACTCTTCCTCCATTGAAGCTTCTGCCTCCTCACGCACGTAGCCTGTCTGGGCTTTGTTCTTCTCCTCACGCACACACTCAGTTCTTCTCTTCTGCCTCCCTCCATGCATTATTGAAGCAGCTTCGACCTAGGTAGGTAATAACGCTCCTCCATTCACTTAGCTTCTCCATGTATTGCATTAAAACCATTGTTCGGTTTTATGAGGAATTGGTCTTTTGTTTAATATTTGTAAGTTTCTTGTAATTGCTAGGGTTTGTCAATTGCTACTTAACTACTCCATTAAATGCGCAAGGCTCCCCCTCCATTAAACGCACAAGGCTGCCCCTCCACAAATGTAAGTCCTTTGTAGTTGTTATTGTTGCTGTTTATAAGCTGAGAATTCTATCTAGTACAAGCTGCATTTATCTATAATTCTAAATTGTTATGAGAACTTTATTTATCATCACTAATAAAATTGAGAATTTTATTTTGTTTATAGGATAATTTAGTATTTTTTATTTTAGAGAACAAAGTTGAGAGGAAGCTAATAATAGTAGTTCAATTTTATATTAGTAGCTCATCAAATTCTACTATATATGGACTTCAGGCTAAGAAATGGGTGTCAAGGGCTTCTAGGGTAAGATCATCAGTTTGGAGAGTGGGCGGAAAGCTTCCTGGTATCTTACTCTGACTGTCCTTGTTCTTGCTCACTAATATCATTCTTATCTTTTCCCTTAATCTGGTTTTCTATTTGTGTTCTATATAGGCTATAATGAAAAAGATTCAGAGGATTTTTTGGGCGAAGCATTGACCTTGGCATTGACCTTCTAGTTGAGAGTGTTGAGACTTTATAGGTACTCTGGTATATATATAACTTTATGTGCTATATATAAGTTCTTGTTTGCACACTTTTGCGGAGATGGTGTATGATATAACATTAGTGAAACTTCTATCATGATGTGTGATTAATCCATTGTTTTTAATTGATTGCATGTATCATCATATGCCTAGATACCCGTTCAAGGCTTTCTCATTAGGAGAAAGTATTGAATAGTCCCCGGTTGGGACTGTTCTTGAACGTTTACTCTCACTTAGGCGGTGAATGTATGTCCTTTTTTCGATTTTAAGGAACATCTTGGCTTACCATTTCCTCGATCACCATGTTCTCTGGGTACATATGTGGGTAAGTAATTACCTACGTCGTGTACTTGGAGAACTGGGGGGAAATGCTGCGGATTTTCCTTAAAATTGGAAAGTCGACATACATTCACTAGTGAGAGTAAACGTTCAAGGATGGGTTAAGTTGGAGTGATAAGGACCCTTTGGAAGCATATATGCATTTTTGTATCTATATGCATGAATGTTATATGCATGTTGTGTGTTTGAATTTGATTTATATATATAATAGATGTAGCAATTATACATTATTCGTAATATGTTGCCATGTTTAGAGACAATTTACTTAATGGAGAAGGATCGTGGCTAGATGTATGGTAGACGTGATACATTGGAATTCTTTTATGGGGTTTAAGAGTTTTGCGAGAGGGCTTTATCTTATCAGCGCAGAATGGGACTGCTTTTATTGTCCTTGTGTAAATTGTAATAATGTGAAGATGGTCAATAGTGTTGATATCATTAGAGATCATGTAGTTTGTTGTGGGTTTAGGCTTAAATACCATGTGTGGATTTGGCATGGTGAAGAAGGAGAGTACAGTGGGGATGTTATTGGGAATGATGTGCATGATGATAGAAGCAGTGACATTTGTGTGGCGAGGAATACAAGAATGCTGAACATATTGTTGATGATGGTGCTGAGGATGGATTTGAGGATGATCATGTGGATGAGGTCGAGGATGAAGGGGTGGGTGAGATGATGCGTGGTTTTGAAGGTGACGTGTTTGAGTCATTATCGGAGGCTTCTAAAAAGCCTTTGTATCCTGGGTGCAAATCATACTCTAAACTATCCGCCGTGCTAACTCTTTTTAACATTAAGTCGAAGCATGGGTGGACGAACAATAGTTTTACTTCTTTGTTGAGCGCGTTGAGTGAGATGTTGCCCGACGGGAATGAAATTCCTAAGTCTTACTATTACGCTAAGAAGCTCATGTGTCCATTTGGTTTGGAGTATAAGAAGATACATGCATGTCCTAATGATTGTATTCTTTATTGAAATAAATATGAAAAATTGGAGGAGTGTCCACGATGTAAGAAGTCACGCTACAAGCGCAAGAGTTGCAATGCTGGTAAGAAGGGACCGCCTGCTAAGGTGTTATGGTATCTTCCCATTATTCCAAGGTTTAAGCGTCTATTCTCAACACCAACAGACGCTTAAAACTTGAGGTGGCATGCAGAGGGAAGAAAGAATAACAGAATGCTGAAGCATCTAGCCGACTCCCCGCAATGGAAGAACCTTGATATCAAGTTTGGAGAATTTGGTGATGAAGTTAGAAATTTAAGGCTTGGTTTGTGCACGGACAGGATGAATCCATTTGGCACTCTTAGTACCCAGCATAGCACATGGTCGATACTGTTAGTGATCTACAATTTGCCTCCTTGGTTGTGCATGAAACGGATATACGTAATGCTTTCTCTATTAATATCGGGGCCAAGGCAACTTGGAAACGACATAGATGTTTATCTTGAGCCCCTTGTTGATGATTTGAGAAAGATGTGGGACGAAGGGGTTTCTGTTTTTGATGCTCATAAGAATGAGATGTTCACATTGCGTGCAGCTTTTATGTGGATTGTTAATGATTTTCCTATGTATGGCAACTTGTCTGGGTATAATAACAAAGGAAAAAAAGCATGCCCCATTTGTATTGATGATATGCCAAGCAGGCGCCTTGATCATTGTCACAAAAAGGTGTACTTGCGAACCCGAAGGTTGCTCAGGCGCGATCACCCGTACCGTAGGCAGAAAAAGGCTTTCGATGGGACATCGAAAGAGGGGACTGCTCCTAGGCCGTTGACTGGTGAGGAGGTTTACGCTCGAGTAAAGGGTGTACGAAGAGTCTTTGGGAAATCGGAAAAAGCGGCGGAGTCAACTGCTCTCTTTAAAAAAGAATCAATCTTTTGGTTGCTCCCGTACTGGAAAGAACATGACGTTAGGCACTGTCTTGATGTAATGAATATAGAGAAGAATGTGTGTGATGCTCTTGTGGGAACGCTGATGAATATTCAAAGCAAGACAAAGGACGGAAAGGGTGCACGGGACGATTTGAAAAAGATGAGGGTGCGTCCACAATTGTGGGTTCAGCAAAGGGTTAGTAAGGGAAAGGAACAGGAAAAGGAAAATGAATTGAGTTCGAAAACAGGAAAGGGGAAGAGCAAGGGAAAGGGAAAGGCCACGAATGCGTCGAAGAAGAAAAATGAGGGAAAAGCCAAGGAGGGCAAAGGCCTATTTACCTCCGGCTTGCTACACATTGTCAAGGGTAGAAAAACGGATGATTTGTGCATGTCTGTATGACATTAAGGTTCCATCAGGGTACGTACGCATCTAACATGAAAAGATTAGTATCCTTAAATGGAGAATTGAAGCTGACAAGTATGAAATCCCATGATTGTCATGTTCTGATGCAAGTTTTCCTACCAATTGCAATACGTGGTATTTTACCAAAGCACGTGAGGGAAGCTATTACAAGCCTCTGTTCGTTTTTCAATACAATATGCAGCAAAGTGCTTGATCCTTGTACACTTGATGCTTTACAGGCGGATGTGGTTGTGACTTTGTGCAAATTTGAGATGTACTTCCCACTCTCGTTTTTCGACATAATGCTGCAGTTGATTCTTCATTTGGTGTGTGAGATTAATTTATGCGGTCTAGTGTTCATGCGGTGGTGCTATCCTTTTGAAAGACATATGGGTACATTGCAAGATAAAGTCAGGAATCGGCTCACCCGGAAGGAAGTATGATTCAAGGGACCGTGGCTGAGGAGGTCGGTAATTTTGTGGCTAACTATATAGCCGTTGCTAAACCTATTAGTATTCCTACTTCTCGACACGAAGGGAGACTTGATGGTCATGGCACAATCGGGTCGAAACGAATGTCACCTGATCGAGATAAGTTCTTACAAGCGCACCTATATGTGTTGCACCATGTTGCAGATGTTCACCCATATTTAGACGAGCACATGGCTAGTTTGCGTGATGAATTTCCATCAAAAGGTGAACGGGCACTGATGCAGTTGCATAATAAGAAGTTTGTGAGTTGGTTTCGTGATCGAGTGATGGGTGGAAAGTATGAGAGTGTCACAGATACAGTAAGGTGGCTTGCTTATGGTCCTAGGGATGACGTTCGCTCATTTGAGGGATATGACATAAATGGGTACACATTTTGGACTGAGCGTCAGGATTTGAAATCATCCTCGACCCAAAACAGTGGTGTAACGCTTGTGGCATCCTCAAGGGAGTTTTCAAGTGCTAAGGATAAATCATCTGTTGATGCAGAGTTGTCATACTACGGTCGAATTCAAGAAATATGGGAGCTTGATTATTGTGACTTCACGATTGCTCTTTTCCGGTGTAAAAGGGTTGATAATATCAGGCGTAATGTCAAACATGATGACTTTACTCTTGTAGATCTTGGCCACCTGAATGATAGTGCTGAACCATTCATCCTTGCATCTCAAGCCAAGCAAGTGTTTTATGTAAGTGACCCAGCCGACTCAAAATGGTCTATTGTGCTAGCCGGCAAAAGAAGAATCCTTGGCGTTGGAGATGTCGAGGATGAGGAAGAATATGATGCGTTTGATGACTCGACACCTTTCACTGTTCCTAGACCTGTTGTACCAAATGAGATAGACGACCAAGCCAAATTACATGCGATCAGACCACGACGAAGGAATATTAGATTGAGGTACTATTTTTTGTTAGTTTGAAATTATAGGCATCGAAAGTATTATTAAATCACATTTTTAGGTGAAAATGAATGAAATTGTTAACTTACTTGCCCGTTTTTCGTATTTTCTTTTAAATGAATGAAGTAACTTAGTTCCCCATTTTCTATGTTAATTTGTATTATAGTTCAGCAATTTATATTTGATTATAAGTTTACCTTACAAATTTATTTATATTACAACTAATAACGTGTTATGTTTGTAATGACAGGTTTTACATCTCATGGCGGATGATCACTACCGTATTGGAGTGGAGGATGTAGAGGATGATGATGATGATTCATCTGGGGATGGGGACGAGCTATATGATGTGAACAAGGAGCCTAATTTGGGTGAGGCAGAAGATCAGGCTCAAGATGCGTTGGAGCGTATGCTTGATGAGTTTGAAATTGTAGCTGAACAAGCGCCTCCTATCGAAAATGCAATGTCTGAGTCGTTTGATGAGAATCCTAGTGGAGGGGGGGGGGGGGGTAAAAGGACCAGCGAACAAAAAGCTGAGGGTTCCGACGACAAGTTTCAAGAAACCTGTCGGTCCAATGGTCCTGGAGTATGATAGGGTAGGAAAACCTATAGGCAAATGGCGTCGTCAGTATGCTGTTCAAGTTGGGATTTGTGCGCGCAAAATCCCCATTACTCTTCGTTTGAGCGACGTACCTATTGGCTTGATAGACACGTTTTGGAATGATACAAGGGTAAGTGATTTGTTTCCACATTTATAAATTCCTTCAATTTATTTTTATTTAATGGGCAAACTAATAATGACTGTTATTTGTGCTTGCAGAGTCTATTTAATATTCCAAATGAGTATGCCAAGCGAAGGGTGTTTGAATCCTTACTTGCGACAACATTCAGAGGCTTCAAGACCACCTTAGTTTGTCGGTTTATCACAAAGAAGCTTGTGAGAAAACCAAAGAACAAGAAAGGAGGTGGCATGGATGATGAAGTCATCGATGAAGAGAAACTCCCATGGAAAATATGGCCTAGTGTATCAAAGGAAGATTGGGATGCTTTCGTTCTTCAAAAAAGCAAAAAAGAAGCAATTGTAAGTTCAAGTAACTCTAATGACAATTGTATAATATATTTAATATTTTGGTACTTTTGAAACTAATATGTCTAATTATGTAGGAAATAAGGGAGCAGAATTCCAAGAATGCATTGCAGAAGCAATACTACCATCGTATGGGGTGTATGACGTTTGATGAATGGAGGGAGACGTGGGTGAGTGAGGGATTATACCCCACTGCGCTTCTAGGGCCCTCCACAGTGCCCTCTGACTCCACGACCAGTACTTTGGTGAGTCGTGCCGGAGATTTCTTCTGTTCTTTGCATTCCCGTGATAAGAAAACCGGGAAATGGTCCATCAAGACTCCGAAAACGAAAGAAAAGGCAGATAAACTTGTAAGCAATTATGAATTGTGAACTACATGAATCTTTTGCATATATATCACTTTACATAAACACTAACTTTGTGTTGCCTTTTTGGTTTTGCTACAGCTTGAGTACACTGGAGAGCTTGTTGAAGGCAAGCTCGTCCCAACAGTGGATAAGGACCCTTTCACATTGGCTTTGGGAAAGCCCTACCATCCAGGACGTGTATTGGGTGCGGGGGGGAGCTTGCTAGGATGGGTGAAGGTGATGGGCCCGGAATATACCAAATCAGGGAGATCTCGGGCAAGTGTGAACTCACCGGTCAACTTGGATGCCATGGTGGCATCAATTAAGGAACAAGTGCGCAACGAGATGCGAGAAGAGTTCAATGCATGGGCAAAGCAAATGAACTTGCCGAGCTTGCCTTTCTCCTCGACTACACCGGTCGACTCTTCTAGTCACCCACGAAAACAAGGAGAAGATGAGATACATGCAGACGAGGAGGTACATGATCAAGTGGTTTCTAATGTATAAGTTTTGACTTGTTGAGTAACGTGGGTTCTAATTAGCTTCGCACTATCAATACACTGTTGCAGGTTAGTAATCCTGTACATGCGTACTTGAGGGAGCTTGAAAATCCAACACCTCATGACTTTCTGGTTCTATAGGTGAGTTGTTTAGTTATTTCTTTGGATGGTGATATTGGTTCTTTGATTCTGCTGTGAATTTGTGAAGTTTGTTGTGTTGTTTCTTTATATTGGATGAAGTTTGCGGTTTTATGTGCTGCTTTGTGTTGTATGTTGTTGCGGTTGAGTTGCTGTTGATGTGTTGCTGTTGAACTGCTGTTGGTGTTGTGTGTTGTTGTTGTTTTGTTGCTGTACCTATTGACGTACCAATGCTGTGCACAGCAGCTACCAGTGCACTAGTGCACAACACCAGTGCACCAGCACCAGTGCACCAGCACCAGTGCACTGCATCAGCACCAGTGCACCAGGCACCAGGCACCAGTGCACTGCACCAGCACCAGTGCACCAGTGCACCAGCACCAGTGCACCAGTGCACCAGCACCAGGCAGCAGGCAGCAGGCAGCACTGGTGCAGGCAGCAGGCAGCACTGGTGCAGGCAGCAGGTAGCAGGCAGCAGCTGTGCAGCAGTTCTGTTGCTGCGTTGTTCCGATGTTGATGTTGTTCTGTTTTTCATTAGTTGTTTTGCTCTTGCCTTTTTTTTTTGTTCTATTTGTTTCTTACAAGTGATATTCCAAATTAGTGCAGGAAGAGACCCGCTTCTTCACCCGGGCGAATCGCTTAGTGGAGCTTTGAATGTCGTTGCATATGGTAGTGCACAACTGGCCGAACAAGGTACGGTCCATTTGCGACCGCTTCGACCTGAGCATTATTCGGTCGGGATCCATTCTGTTGTTGCCGGGTTCGAGGACATCCTAATACCCGTGCCCGTAAAGGAGGATGAGTTTACTACATTTTGGGCGGCAAAAGGTAGTTTTGTGCAATGGCCATGTGCTTGGATACAATCGATGAACCAGGTAATTAAGATTTAAAGTTCACGCTTTACTCTATACCCGATTTTCATCCCAAGAGTTGGATGAAATTCTTTTCTAACCATTTGTGTGATTTGTCTTATTAGCCATCTAGGAAAAGCCAAATCCAAAGAAGAGGGTGGAGGGGCCAAAAAGCATTGATCAATCGATGCCAAAGAAGAGGAGTGAACATGGCTCGGTGAGTGGAAAAGCGTCGAACAAGAGCTCTTCACGAGGTTCAGCTATGCAAGCTACTCCACTAGTTGAAGACACGGTGCTTCAATAGCTCTCTAAGGAGTTAACTTATCTGCACAACCGTATTTGCGTGTTGCCTAGTGACAGCCTCATTCAAGTTCCACTACCTAAGGAAATGTTCCACTACGATGATGATGCAATGGCATGGCTATTCAAAGAAGATGTGAAGGAATTTCTAAGTGGTGCAATGCTTAACATTTCCCTCATTCAAATATGCATCAGGTAATTCAACTAGTACTCAATTTATGTTATTCAGTTTAGTGGTGATTGTCGGTTGGTTTTCGATTAACATTCTATTATCATGCATGTAGAGCACTCCAGGAGCACTTATGGGAGCTTGGTTCTCCGTGTCAAATTGGGTGGTTATGCCCTGAGAAAATCTCCACTGCTAGAATCTTAGGCAACCACGCTGACGTGTTGTACTATGTTGAACGGGGTATCTAGGAATCAGTGCGTGCGGGAGACATGTTTATATTTGCCCCATATTATGAGGAGTACGTCAGATTATGCTTGTCAAATTCATTTGTTTTCCCAGTTTATATGTTGTACTTGCCTAATTATTGATTTGTTTGTCTCGTGTGAATGTATGTACATAGTTATCATTGGACCCTACTGGTGATTTGTGTTTCCAGTAACACAATATTCTTCTTTGATTCTGCTCGGTTACCTCAACCAAGAAAGCGCCTCGTGAAGTCCATACTGTAAAAGTAAATATACATAGCTTCAATTCTTGTTATTGATTATCATAACCTAACTCATATATATTAATTAAACTAATCAAATTTGAACTTACTTTTCTATGTAGTGTTATGAAGAAGATAAATTCTCGAGCTCCTCGAGGTCCTACATGGAAATCACCAATGGTATTGCCACATGATATTGTGATTTTCGTAATATACAATGCGTAAGATGTTGCTAATTTGCTATGTATGTTTGATTCATGTACTTTTTTCCTCATGCTAGTGCGCACAACAAGATAACGGAGTTAATTGTGGCCTATACGTGATGAGATTCATGTTTGACATAGTGAGTCATTGTACAGACACACAACAACTTAAAGAGGTATGCCAGTTTGGTTGAAATTGCGTTACAAAACTCCTTAATTGCTATTTTCTTGTAATTTCAAGCCTTGGCCATCTATAAATAAGTGATAAAGACATGTTATGACTGTTTATGAGTTCACTAGACAAGAAATGTAGGAAATAGGCATCCTAGTAGTCAAAATGGCCTTACTCGGGCCATTTTGGTTGAAATTGCGTTCCAAAACTCCTTAATTGCTATTTTCTTGTAATTTCAAGCCTTGGCCATCTATAAATAAGTGAAAAAGACATGTTATGACTATTTATGAGTTCATTAGACAAGAAATGTAGGAAATAGGCATCCTAGTAGTCAAAATGGCCTTACTCGGGCCATTTTGGTTGAAAATGTGTTCTAAAACCCCTTAATCGCTATTTTCTTGTAATTTCAAGCCTTGGCCATCTACAAATAAGTGATAAAGACATGTTATGCCTATTTATGAGTTCACTCCTACTAACTTACGTTTTGTGTATGTATTCCAAGTTTTGCAAGGGACAAACGGGAAATCCGTTCACGAGCGAGGAACTCAATGTAATTCGAGACATGTTGGCGGCCTACATCACATTTAATTTGTAAACATCATTTATTTCTGTTTTAACTAGCTTAGTGTACTACATTATTACTAATTAATTATGTTTGTTTGTAGTTATGACACGTTTTTCTAATTAATATCATATTTTGGGATTGTTATCAATATTTATGTCCTTGTTATTATTTTCAATTATTATTATTATTAATATATTAATAATACTAATTATTAGTAATATTATAATAATAATAATTGTTATTATTAATATTAATATTGTAATAATTATTATTATTATTATTATTAAAATTAATAATAATAATAATAATAATAATAATTATTATTAGTTATCGATATTATGTACATGATCTCATTATTATTATATTTATTAGTATTAATATTAATATATATTATTGCCGAAAAAAAAAAACAAGTCAAAGGCACCGGTTCAAGCTCAAAACCGGTGCCTATTACATTGAATTTAATAAAATAAAAAACTGGCACCATTGAAGTTGGCACTGGTTAACTGGTGCCAAATGCTTTAGTTGGCACTGGTTTTGAACCGGTGCCAAATTTTTGAGGATTTGGCATCCCTCAAATCCCCAACGGTTCAAAACCGGTGCCTTAGGGGGGGTTTGAACCGGTGCCAAATTAGCTTTTTCGTCTAGTGTACCTTAATGGTAAGCAGTGTTGACTATTTTTCAGGTGGAGTCAATAATTGAGCATATGGGAGTCCCGGGATGTTCTTCACTTATAATTAGGAATGTTGGTCTTTGTTGGTATTATGAGTACTCATGACAATGGTTTCTATTTATAGTTATTATTAATAAAGAAAGAATTTGAGTTTTCGCTGGAAAGTATTGGTGTTGGTTAGTAGTTTGAGTAGCCTTGCGTGATCACGAGGCGGTAATACGCCTAATTCTATCTCTGTTGTATAATTATACGTATTATACTAGTATTTCCGTTGAGGGAGATTTGGGGGTGTTACATCTCATCATCCCAATGTGTTACCCACTAATGCCTAATAAAAAAGTGTCGATATGCCATGGGTGCTTCATCCCAACTTATGAGCTTTAATTTGTTGCCTGTAGCAAATCTGTCAATTGTGTTCTTAGCATATGTTATATGTAGATGTTTAATCAAGTCTATTGAGATTTCAAATCTTGAAAGTTCCCTGCTTTCGGCCTGTCGATTAATTGGACTATCCTCTGAGTACGTTCAACCATTGCCTTCTTGCATTGTCCTCGTTGCAATCTTTTTAATGTGTTCTCTCTAGCGGTAATAATAGGGATGCAATTCCAGATGATGCTATTGCGAGTACTACCTCTCCCTTGAATCTTAACCTTGATATTATCATCTGGTAAAGATATATCTTTCTCATTCCACCATGCCCTTTCACAAAATAAAATCCTCATTTTAGCTTTTTTGTCAATTTTACTACTTTGTTATATATCACCTTTTTCTCCTTAATTATCCCTCTACTCTATTCTTCATGCTCGGTTGCATGCTAATTCTTCTTTGTCTAAGTATAGTTGTGCGACTATGAGTCTAGTATTCAATGTTTCCACATAATTTTCATGCGGTGAAAGTAGAGGTGGATGGTCTCTTGGGGTGTGTTTTAATAGACAAGTGGAAAGGAAAAGAAGGGGATGGAGGGAA